GTCTCCAATTATTATTATTATAATTGTTACTGTTGAATTATAATTTTAACAACTAATTCATATTATTATTGTATTATTATTTTTATTTTTTTATTATATGCTTTGGCAATATTGTCACATTCAGGCCAATAAAGCTTATTGAATTAAATTAGACTGATCACACACAGATCTACACACACTTTCAACATTATTACACTGTAGTCATAAATCTCCAATTTGTTGTTGTTGTTTATTTGTTTGTTTACCTCCTTCTGTACTCAGCAGACTCTGTTCAACACGAGTCTGGTTCTGCTTGTTATTAAATGTTGCTTAAATCCTGAGCTTTACCTGCTCAGGTTGTCTTGAGATGACCGTTGTTGTTTATTGTTGCTATACTAATAAAGTTTTATTGATTGAATGCACCCGGTGACGACACGCAGCCTGCAGGTGAACTCACCGCTGCTAACTCCATCCTCCACCTGGATGCTGAGTCGGATGAGTCCAGTTTTCTGCCCCGTCAGTTACTTTCAGCCGAGGCTGCAGAAAGTGGGAGAAGTCACGTGTCAGTCAAGAATTACGTTTTTAAAAACAATGACGTCACTTACAGAAGCAGGAAGCTAGGTGAGCTAGGTGAGCTAGCTGTCAGTGTGTGCTGAAGTATACACCTTGTCAGAACAAACCGGCTCTTTTTAACATGAAAGTGTCGATGCTTTAAAGGCAGTTGTGGTAAACAAAGTCAGATTAAACACCCAGTTTGATTCATAAAGTTCGTTTTAGAGAGTTTTACAGCCTGCACACCTTCGTTAGCTACGTTAGCACGCTAGCTCCACTTACCTGACTTGGAAAAGATGGACAGCCTTGTGAGCTTCAGAGGCGACATGTTTTTACACGTATTTCATCGACCTGCCAGAGATGTGCGGGACTCTGTCGTTCCTTAAACTTCCTGTAACTTAAAAACAAACAGGCGTCCTCTTGTTGTTGTTGTTGTTGTTGTGCTGCTGCTGCTGCTGCGACTGTTAGCATCCGGCTAGCAGACTAAGGTCCCCTCCAGTGACGTCACGACACACGTCATCGCCGGCAGCAGACCACCAGCAGAGTGTTTCACGTGGTGGGTGTCACAGAGGTTGACATTAGGTCAGTGTGAGGGGTATAAAGGGGACAGATATTAAATATGGAGTTTTTTATAAACTTTAAAGGAGACAAATCATTAAAACAATCATCTTCTGGAACATGGAGGAGGGAGCTTTGTCACAGCCCTTTGAGTTTCCTGGGAAAGAGATTTGGGGGTATCATGTGCTGAGCAGGAGTGGGTCAAGATCCGTCAAGGGATCTGAGGGTGAGGCTTGTTCAATTTTAAATTCTGCACTGGTTTTATTGGCTCTTCAGACTTGGCTTAAAGGATTCGACTACTTGCTGGAAGTGTGGTGAAGGTACACTGGTACACGCACTTTGGTCGTGCCCCATGATTCATCAGTATTGGAGGAAGATTCATTCTTACATTATCAATTTGTGCTGTGTCCTAAGCTCTACATTTTGGGGGATTGTACGGCGTTAACTGCTTTTTCAAAACCACTGAGCCAATGTTTACAAACTGCTATCACGACTGGACGACAGATTATCCTCAGGATTTGGAAGACATCAGGAGAACCTCCCTTTCCAAACTGGCTGACTGAACTGGGCACAGTAGCTGCATACGAAAGAATGTCATATAGGATGCAGGACAGAACAGAAAAATGTCTCCTGGAGTGGGGCGTGTATCTTGTTGTGATTAACAGAATGAAGATCAAGTGTGAAAATTAGCATTGGTTTTGTATTTTTTTTTTTATGTTCGTTTATGTGCTAAGCCACTGTAGAAGAAAGGAACCGCTGAGCCCTCTGTGTTACAGTTTTGTGTGGGGGTGGGGGTGGGGGTGGGGTAGAGGGTATTTGTAACAAACAGATGTATACTATATGTTATCGCTGATTTGTTGTTGTTTTTTCTAAAATAAAAATTGAAAGTCATAAAAAAAAAAAGATCCTCTTCTACAGTGTTTTTGAACATATATTTGGGTAACCTGAGAGTCTACTGACCCACAAAATGTGAAATAAACCCATCCAGTCCTTTGTTTGTGGTCTGCATAAGTCTTACAACACAGAGAAAAATGCTCCGTTTCAAATGTGCTCTCCTTGTGATGTCACAGTGGGATTCTGATAAAAAAAAAAAAAAAACTCCCCTCCCCTGGTATCTCCACCCATGGACTCCACCCCCAGCCTAGATCTAAACTTTTGCACAGGTCGGCCATTTTTATTCTCTCTACAGAGGAGTGATGTCTACCAGGAAAACTCAGGAGGGGGTCATTACATTTAAAGAGACACACACACCAAAACAGAGCGTTCTGAGAGAGCTGGTTTATACAGGGTCACAAACCTCCTCTGGTGCTTGATTCATGTTATATTTTGACCAAAGCACAGCACAGATGTTTCATAGCCTAATGTAATTTAATAATTGCACATTTTGTTAAGAGGACTTCCAGATAAATGTAAGGCTGACAATGATGTCACAACTACTAAAACAAAGAGTCATATCTCGCCCTCGTCTTCACTTGTACCTAACAGTGTGTAATAAAGAGAGCCACACCCACACCCTGCTTTTTGCAACATCCTACCTGTGAGGTTTTTTGTTTCTATCCACTTTTAAGAGAGCCACCAAAGCCTGGTCAGTTCAGCAACACATCTTATTGTATCGTACCCGTCGGTGTGTGAATGTGTAGGTGCGACCTGCCGTGTAAAAGCTCTTTGAATCGTCAGACGACTAGAAAAGAACTTCACAAGCTCAGAGTCCATTTAGCGTTTACACATGACAAGAAATGCACCTTTTTAAATACTTTTTAGATTTATTGCATTAAGGCATTTTATAAAATGTAGATAAGCATTTAAATGGCATCAATGTAACATGAAGTCTATTTGATAATACAGCATTAGGGTAAAATAAATTCAGAGGCCCACATTCATGATGGAAACCAGATAAAGCATGGCACAAAGCAGAGCTCTAACACATGATGACCCACCACCAATAACCAGTAAAATGTAAAAAAAAAGAAAAGTGAGATGACACATCAACCAAGATAACATACATGATGGTGCAACGTTTCCACCCACAGCTGTGTTACCTCAAATGAATTCCCTATTCTTGTGTGTGTGTGTGTGTGTGTGTTTGTGTCGACATTGTGCAAAGTAGGATGAGGTAATGGCGTGAAAGCATCATGACAAAGTCTGAGCGTGAAGTACAAATATGCAGATTTATAGTGACACTAGCATGAACTGCATCAAAGCTCCCAAAGAACCCATTTGTGTGTGCAAAAAAGCGTTAACATTTTCAGGCGTTTTCCCCTAAACTGCTGCGGCACCAGCACATAAACCTCAGGTAATAAAACAAGCTGCTGTAAGAGCAGTGTGTCCTCGTATAGTAAACCCGTTTAGTATAAAAATAGACCAGGAAACATAAAACCCTTTTTAGAAAAACACTCACATCCACTGAGATGATCATTTGGCCTAATGTGAAAGTATTCAATTAAAAGCAACAGTAAGGCTACAAGAAGATCGTCAAGAGGCGAGAAGCTCTCAGAGAGAAAGTCATGTTTGACCGCTCGCTTGGCTGTTGTGTTGCATGTCGCCGTGTGGTAATTAGGATTTGTTCCTCTCTGCTCGACCTCTGTTCAGTTGTCTGCGGGCTCAGGCGCTTCAGTCTGCACGTCCACTTCCTCGTCGCTGTCCAGACCAGCGCGGATGAAGGTACGTCGGATGTTGGAAGGAAGGTCCCCCCGTCTGCAACACACACACACACACACACACACACACACACACACACACACACACACACACACACACACACACACACACACACACACACACACACACACACACACACACACACACACACACACACACACACACACACACACACACACACACACACACACACACACACACACACACACACACACACACACACACACACACACACACACACACACACACACACACACACACACACACAACTTAAAAGGAAGAATATGCAATTTTTCACACTTCAATGTAATAGAAATTAAGTATATATAGTTTTCAGAGTCCTATCTTCACTTTGTTTACATCGCCTGGACGGCCTGACTCCTCCCCTCGTGTATAAAAGTTGTTTAATTGAGGCACTAGAGAAAAGAAGAATAACATACTGTACTCACTGCTTAACTGTGTTTCTAGATCACGCTCATTTCAGGTAAATTTACATGCAGTGTGAAGATACCAGCATAATAAAGATCGCTAGCATTAGCATGCTAACACAACAATGCAGCGTGAGTTGTTTTGGTTTCATGCTGGTGCTCAAGGGCGACATCTGCTGGATCAAAAAAAATCGCATAGTCTGCCTTTAAGATGCAGCAGGGAAAGCACTACACGGGGGTCTACAGTGTCATCTCTTAATTCCTCAAAATGTCTGCATGTTAGATAAATCTATGAGGAGTAATGAAGTCTGAATTCAAACAATGTTCTGCTGCAGAAACAAACAGTTCAAACCATCACAAACTTGATCTGTGTCACTCCCAGACACTTAGATCTAAGGGAGGTCTGTACCTAAGCTTGCTCTTCAAGGTGGTGACTTCCCGGTTCATAAGGTCAGTTGACTCTGTAGCATCATCCAGCTCCCTCTGCAGCTTCCTGCGGTAGGCGTTTGCTCGCGTCACCTCCTCCTCGGCCTCCTCGAGCTGGCGCTTCAGCTGGCGCATTCGGGCGTTCGTCCTCTCCACCTGCAGAGAGAGACGATTCACTTAATGTGGCACCAACACAGGGAAAATGTCATAAACAATGGAGATAGAACAGCCGTAATCAGGTCAGATGACTCAATGAAGCCTGTTCACACATGCACCTCACAGCGTGAAACTTTCCCTTTCAGACATGAGGGCGGGGGGCAACAAAACGCCAGATAAAGCCAAAAGTCTGACACTATGTTGCAGTGTTTTAATGGAGGTATTTACAGTCTCAACACATGCATGTTACAGAACCTGCAGAAAAAAGGTGCTTCATTACGTGCAAGTCGATTTTAAGGTTTGTGCGATAAAAGCGTCATCTTTCCTGCCCCGCTCGTGGTGTATTTTCTTAGAAGGGACCCGCTTCACACACCCACTCACCTCGACTTTTAGTGGAGCTTTTATTAAGACACTGGCAGAAAAAAAATCCAACTGAGGTCATGGTGAAAAACATCAAACTTGTTGTGTTCTGACATGCATCTCAACCTGAAGAGTTTTGGGTATTTTCAGGAATTTTTTCTGCAGGTGAGAAACACCATCAAGTGAACTATTACTCAACTAGACAAACCAATAACCTATACCTACCAATGTGTCGTACATCTCGAGGACAGTACTCAATAAGATACTGTGGAGTCAAATTATGGAACACGCATATTTTTTTCTAGATACAAATTGAGACTCAGAAATGCGTTGATGTCAGAAAGATTTGTAGTGAATAGTGAATTGTCCTGATTTTGTTACATTGTCTACATACTGTAAGTCCTGTTTTGCTCTATTTTTATGTTTTCAGTGTTTGTATGTCATTTTCATTTGGGTAAATTTTATTTGTGATAGTAAATATTCTTACTTTGTTATTTTTACTGTATTTTATTCTAACTTTGTTTAATCTCTTAAGGTGAGGTTTTGAGATAAGCCCTCATGGTTTCTACCTCACCAAACATGTGTTTTATTTTTCATTTTTTTCATTTTCTGTTTGATTATTCTTTCAAAAAACGTGCAAATAAACTAAACCAAACTAAACTCTAAAAGGAGATTTGAGATGGAAGCTTGCCTGGTCTTTGTGTTGCTCCGTGTTGCGTCTCTCGTCCTCGACCTGCAGCAGCACCTCTTTCAGCTTCTTCTCCGTCCGCCTGGCGAGTCTGGACGCCTGCTGATGCTCCCTGAGAGACGTGGGAAGAGGAAAAAGTCACTTCACCTGCAGTGTGAAAGCAGCCTGAGACTCAGATCAACTACTGAAACAATAAGAACCAAAGGATTTGTATATCTTTCTTTGGCATTGAGATAATCACAGCGCCCCTTTATCAGCTTTCCCCGACTGACCACAGCCGCCGTCAGAGTGTCTGTTTCACTCACTTTGACTCGATGTCCAGTTGTTCTTCCAGGTTAGCGATCTTAGCCTCCAGAACGGTGATGGAGGATTTGTACTTGGACTTGATGGTTCCCTCCAGCTCCTGCTGCTTCAGTTTCAGCTCCTTGTTCTGGCGATCCAGCTGCGAGCGAGCCCCCTCTACCCGCTGGAAATTGCTGCGCTCCGACGCCAGCTCCATGGTCAACTGCTCGGCCTGACGTTAAGACACACATAGAGGAGAGTCAGCTCATCCTAAGAGGTTTATTTGAACATATTTGATCATTTTAGATGCTTATGGTGGTGAGGTTTCCTCATCTTATTTCACCTGAACATTACCAAGAAGTTTACTTTTAAGAATCCTACATTTTACTACTCCCATAATGAACTGTCATCCTTTATTTCCAGGCTTTACTTTGCAAAGAAAGTCATTGTTTCCAGCTGCCAGAGATCAAGACATTTTGCGTGTGCTTACCTGCAGCGTGGTCCTCTTCATACGATCGTTGACCATCTCCGTGTTGAGCTGCTCCTCCTCCAGCTCCTCCTCCAGCGTGGCGATGCGAGCCTCCAGCCTCCTCTTGTCCTCTGCCATCAGAGAGCTGGAAACGAAAAAAGAGGAAGAGGAGGAGCCGTGGTTAGAATAAAGAGTATGTAGGGTAAGCTCCCATCATGTTGTTCTACAGCTTCTGTGAAACTAAGGTGCAGATTTATCGACTGAAATATTATGTGATGTGATGTGCTTGAGTCTGTCTCCTACTTCTTGGAGACGCTGTTGGTGATCTCTTCCTGGAGCTCGTCTCTCTCCATCTGAACTTGTTTCTTGAGTCTCTCTGCAGTGGCCAGATCCTGAAGGGAACGAGAAGTTCATGTTAAGACTTGAGCTGTTTTCACACATGCACTCTGTAAAGTTTCTAGATCAGCGCTTCCCAGAGTGTGGGCTGCGGCCCCCTGGTGGGCCGTGTGGGTACTACAGGTGGGCCAAGAAAAGCCCTCCACCAATTTTAAAAATAAAAGAAATATCACAATAATGATGATTTACCATGAGTCAACCCTTTAAGTGATTAGTAAGGCGTGTAATGACTATTCATGGACATATTGTTCAGTAACTTTTGTGTCTATCTTGCCATAATATCATGTTGTCATGTCCAATAATGTAGCCTTACTGAAAGTTATAGATGCAGTCATAAACATTTTTATATAACGGGCCCCGGAGTCATTTTGTATTTCAAAGCGGGCCACGGCAGTCTTAAGTTTGGGAAAGGCTGACATAGATCATTCGAGGACTGTCTGCCTCCTGAATCCTCCTCAGTTGCTCATTCATAAGTCACTCATGGGGTACATGTTTCCTCAGGGTTGGGGTCTAAGGAGGCAAGACTTGACAAAAAAAAGAAGAGCAAATCCAAGATGGCAGACAAAGTCTGACACTACGGCCCAATCTCGATGTCCACCCTCACACACTGACTGACTTTGATGCGCGTTCCCGTTAAGTCTGTGAGGGCTTAGGGTGCATAAGTGGGACAACCCTGTCTGTAAGTGGGCATATCTGCAGACTTAGCGTGAGGGAATTTGATGCCATACTTCATGATCTGCCCTAAAACGCTGTAACCTCCTGCTTTATGTAGTCATCATCAATGTTACTCCTCAAACTTGCTCTGTGCTTTATCGTTCTGCTTCCTCATCTAGTTCCAAACTTCAGAGTCGCCTTAAACTAGAGTGCTGTATCAGCATGGATGATTTTAAGACCAGGATGAGGACTATGGTTATCTTGTGAGGAACTTTATGCTGCCGTCTCAGAGAGAACTCCTTTGTATTTCAAGGGTAATATTCCTGGTAAAAAAACATTTAACGTTTGCCGCCATACCTCCTTGTAGTGCAGAGCATCTGCCTCCATGTTCTTGAGCTTCTTCTCCGTCTCCTTGGCCCCGTTGACGGCTTCGTCTCTGCACAAACGCAGCTCGTCCTGTTCTCTCATCAGGTCTTTCATCTGGGCCTGGACCACACACACACACACACACACACACACACACACACACACACACACACACACACACACACACACACACACACACACACACACACACACACACACACACACACACACACACACACACCACACACACACACACACACACACACACACACACACACACACACACACACACACACACACACACACACACACACACACACACACACACACACACACACACACACACACGTCATTGTTGAAGTCAAGTTAACGAGACTACATCCTCACGTTTGCAGGTGAAGGAGCTTTAAAAGATTAAATCCTGATTTTATCATCTTAAATATTGCCGGTATGTTGGATATAAATTCTCACTGCGGCAATCCTTTTCTGTACCTGGATTTTTTTCAGCTGTTTTAACGCCTCATTGCGTCCCTTGTTGGCATCATCGATCTGCTGTACGAGGTCTGCCAGGTCCAGTTCCAGTTTCTTCTTTGAAGAGAGAGCCAGAGAACGCTGCCTGCGTTCTTCTTCCAGCTCCACCTCCATCTCACGCACCTAAAATAAGTATGAGTGATCTTTAGTCTGTCAAAGTAACATTCTGCATTCTGCAGTGGTTCTTAAAAAAACCTGCTATGACATCTGAAGAGTGTTGGTCCTACCCGTCTAACACTGTTTCCTCCTCTCCTCTCCCTGCTCGTCTCTGGCCTGCAGGTCTCGGTCAAACTGGGCCTTCATGGCCTGCATGTTGACCTCCAGACGCAGTTTGGCGTCCTCTGTGGCCTGCAGCTCGTCCTCCAGCTCCTCCAGCTGAACCTCATCTCCTCCACCTGTTGCTCCATTCCACGCTTCGACTCTCCAGTTCATGGACCTGTAGGCGGGGAAGGTTTATATCACTACCGAAGACTGTATAAAATATGGACGTTGTCTCAGTGACGTCACCCATTGGTTACTGAAGAGGAGTTATAAAGCCCAACGATGGTGGTCACCATATTGGAAATGATTTTTTTCTTACTAACTTTCGATGTGTCTAAAAATAGGAAATTATGCTGAACTAAGGCGGGCCACCTGGCGGTCAACTAAATCACGCCCCCTAATTATGCAAATGTATGAATAACTCTCAGCCTTCAAATAATCAAAAAGGACGAGTTATTAAAACAGTGTCTACCAATATAGAAATGAGCAAATTTGGTTTTGTACCAGGCTCTACATTGTTTTTATTCTGTAGTAAAATGATTTTAATTTGTGACCTAATAAAGTTCAACATTGACCGCCCACCTTCTCAGTCTCTGGATAAATACATTTCCCTGTTCAAATCCGCTCCTTGATTTTTCACAAAAAATCCTTTTATCAAGTGATTGGCGCCTGGAACAAAGACAGCCAGCTACCCCCAATACTCGTGACTATAGCACATTTAATTCGCCGCCAAAACAGAGAAAAATTTAAAGGTACAGTACATGATCGAGTACATACTTTTCGTCCAGAGTCAAGGAACTACCAATCCCACAATCCATTGCGAATGATATTGTTTCTTCTTGAATGTAACTTTAGTCGTTGTTGTACTATCTTGTAGTTTGTGTTGTTGAATAGATAAACTACATTCACTGCAGCATGACAAGGTTATTAGTATATTTCGTGTTATCTAAGTAACTAGCTAGCCTGCTAGCAAAACTATCCGCTCGCATACGGCGCCACGGGCCGGAAAAACATTGCCATGGTAACAGCTCAACCAAGCTCAACCAATCTGAGACGTCGCTGTTACACTCCATGATGGTGGGTAGTGTAGTTCTTTGCCCAAGATATCGCGAATAAATCTTGTTTTTCTTAAAATACGGTTGATATCATGCAAACTCGTTTCTCCTACAGGAGCATAAACCATCGTTCTTACACTCGGGTAGCTCGTGGTCAGTCTACTTTAGATGGTTATGACATCATGGGTAATAATCAAATTCGCTATGGAGAAAATGAACAGAATTTTTACTTCCGGGACCAAACTGTTGAGCTCTATGGGGATTTATGGCCAGCCTCTAGTGGGCATTCAAGAAACTGCAGTTTTCAACAAAAAGTGATAATGCTAACATTTAACTCTTTGATAAATAATCAAAGAATGTTTCTGTAGTTTTACTCCAAGCAGAATCAGAATGTGTAATCAGGGATTTCTTACACTCTTGCCGACATCATCCTTGGAGGAAACCAGGTCATCCATCTCAGCTTTCAGCAGTTTATTGACTTGTTCCAGCTCTTTTTTATTAATCGTCATGGCTTCCAGGTCGCCGGCCAGCGTCAGTGCTCGTGTGTCCTTCTCCCTGGCGTCAGCCTCGGCCTTGTCACGCTCCTCGGCATACTGAGTTGAAATGGTTTTCTCCTCGGCCAGCATCTAGAGAGGTAGGAAACAAACAGAGAAAAACATTCAACAAAACTTTATGCTGCCATATGAAGGAAAACTTGGTGTGGTTAAATAAACATTGTATTCAAGATTATTCGAGCTTAGATTAAGATTTAAAAAAAAAAAAAGGGTTTCTCTGCATCATTCATTCAGAGATTGTCAGTTTGTTCTCATCATTTTCTCTGTTAAAACTCTGTGCACTCAACACATGGATGACATGATACCTGATCAAACTTCTTCTGCTTCCTCTCCAGGTTGCACATGGTCTGCCTCACGTTGTCCTGTTCCACAATCAGGTCATCCAGCTCCTGCTGCAAACGGGTTTTGGTCTTGTAGAGCTTGTCGTAGGCCGAGCTCTTCTCTTCCAACTGCTGCAAGATGCTGTCCATCTCCCGCTGGACTCGCTTGCGGTCCTCCTCTGCCTCCTCCATGTTTAAGACCTCCTGGTCCAGCTTCCTCTTCATGTCTGCCAGCTGGAGACACGAAAAGGAAGAAAGAGAAATGTTTTTATCCTGTGCAAATCAGTTCTCTTATTTTGTGAACGTAGCAGCGATTACTCCACTTTAAACCAATCACCAGCATGAGACATTTGACTGTTTTAATATGAGTACTGTTTATATTTACATTTTTATTAGCTTCACACGGGGACTGGTATGTTGTGTGTAACATGAGCGCCCTCTGCTGGAGCCCCTGCTGATTCAATATGTAATAAGCTGCTCAAATAACTGAAAATGTTGTTTTTCTAGTTAAAAGTGATTTTTATCCTTATTGCATGTTTGACACTAAAAGAGCAGTATGTAACTCTGACACCTAGTGTTTAAAATGGGTACTGCATTCCAAATTCTAAAAATTGTAGAGAGCTGTCTCCCCCCCTCCTCTCTAGAGTGGATGCTCACTCAGGTCACCATGTGGTGGACTCTGAAGCTTCAGTGTTTATCCAGCTCTGCATGGGTCTGTAAACCTTTCTGTGTTCTAACCTCTCTCCATTTTTCAAAAGCATCTCCAATATTGATCCTAGTTTGAGCACGTTTCTGCTCGTGGAGCTTATTAGAAACATGCAGAGGCTTTTTAGGTCGGGTACAATCACTTCTATCTGAACCACTTCTCTTGCCCGCTTCCATCGCTGCAACACCTGTTGACCTGATAACTGCTCTCATATCTGACAAACCGAGGGGTGTCCAAAACGGCCGTGTGGGGGCGCCTTAAAACCGCCTACCTTCTCTGGTCCAAACAAATCCAGAGCATTCAGGAGCAGAATCTAAAGTTAGAAGGAGGACATACTGGCTGCTGCATTGTTGTCAGAGAAGCCAGCACTTCAACATAGCATGTTTCCTTAATGATCAGAGAGTAAACTCACGTTATCATTTCAATCAGTAGATATCTTACTGATTGGACCGTTAAAGTCCTCTCAAACACTTTAGTGGTGAACCTTAGAGGGCCAACACAGACCAGTTGAGATTTGTTTAGAGGACATGTGAGTGGATCTACAAAGTCAGTAGGATTCGTCATCAGGTCTTTTCTTCATTATAATCCATCTAATGTTTAAAATCAGTGCTTTGACATTGCCATCTTCAATCCACCGACTGTAGACTTTCCAAACAGTTTTATTTTATTTTATTTTTTAAAAGATGTATTTTTTGGGGCTTTTGTGCCTTTGTGAGAGATAGGACAGTGGATAGAGTCGGAAACCAGGGAGAGAGAGTGGGGAACAACATGCGGGAAAGAGGCCACAGGCGGGATGCGAACCCGGGCCGCCAGCTTGAGACGACAGCCTCAATACATGGGGTACGCACCCTATCCATTGCGCTACCAGCGCACCCCTTCTAAATTGTTAAGTGAAATAATGTGAAACTAAAAAAAATAAAAGGGCTTTGCTCTGACCTGGCCTGCCGAGTGGCGGCCTGCTTCTCCATATTCTTCTTGCCCTCCTCCTCTTCATCGAGCAGCTCTTGCAGGTGTTGCTGCTCGTCCTCCAGGTGCCTCAGGCGGGTTGAGAGAGACAGCTTCTGACGAGTCTCCTCTTCGAGCAACTCCTGGAATTAAGAACATTTGAGAAATAGAGTCTTTAATCTCTCTGCTCGGTTTTACATTTCATTTGCAATGTTTTATTGTGTGTTGTTTTGTCAGCCTTGATCAGTAGCATCATGTACCTGAACATCATGCAGCTGAGACTCGGCAGCAGAAAGGTCTTTGCTGGATTTGATGTTTTTTCCTTCTGCTTCACTCAGGAGGCTGTTACTGTTCTCCAACTCCGCCTAGACACCAGATAAAGAGAACATTTATTCAGCGTCTGCATCCATCAACACACTCTTCATTTACACGCCTCTGCCTCCATACTGTACCTGCATCTTGTCCATCTTGGCGGTCATGTCCTGCCTCTGTCGTTCAATCTCTGTCACTTTGCTCTGAAGCTCCTGGGCCTGGGATTCAGCCTTCTTGCGGCGGTGCTCTGACTCTGTCTTCCCTTGGGTCAGAGACTTAATCTCGATCTGCAGCTCGTTCCAGTCGCTCTCCAGGGCCTGCTTGGCTTTCTCCACCGACGCCTTGTTCTGCAGGGGGACAAACACACGCGTTAAGACGTCATCCAGATGTTTGGTTTTTTTAAGTGTTGACATCTTTCTTGTCCGTGTAGAACTTTTAAATCACCCTTTTGGCCTGTTCCAGCTGTTCATTCAGCTCCTCGAAGGTTTGGTTGTGTTTTTGCCTCATGTCGGCCATCTGCTGCTCGTGGACCTTGGCCTCTTCTTCCAGATTCTTCTTCAGGTGGGCGACCTCCGTCTCTCGCTTGCTCCTAGAGAGACAGAAAAAAAAAAAAATGTATAAAAATAAGCAAAAATGTTACTGTCTTGGGAGTATGTGTTTCCCAAACGAGGGAAGGGCGTTGAGGCCTGCCAGGTGAAGATGACAAAAACATGACCAGCCATATCTCAGTATCAGCTTCACCTGTTTAAAAGTAGAGCTCGATGTGAGGAGTGAGGGGGTGAGGGACTTGAAAACATTTTTTTTTTTTTTGCCCCTAAAATTTTTCAACAGAAAAACCATCAACAACACAACATCAGAATAATTGGCAGACATTTAGACATGTTAAATTTTAGGTCATAACCTAAGTAGTGCAGTTCACAAGGGGTCTTTAAATAGCTTCTCATAATTTACATGATAAAATAAAATTAAAGATGATCTGTCAAATATTGTCTCCATTTTGACCATTTTGCATTGTTTGAAAACATTTTCATCTACCAAAAAGAGCCTGGAAGAAAAAGTTCTAGGAGCCCCCTGGAGTACATCAACACCAACTTGAGTTTGTTGCTTCAGCTTTATGGAGACGGAGCTACAGAATCCGATCCTGTTACCTGAGCTCCTGCTGTGTTGCGGTCGAGTCCAGTGTGTCCTCCAGCTCGGTCTTGAGCGCCTCCAGCTCCTCGCCCAGGTCCCTGCGCTGTCTCTCGGCCTTCTTGCGCACCTGCTTCTCCATCTCCAGGTCCTCCTGCAGCTCGCTGATATGAGCCTCCAGCTCCCTGATCCGCTTCTGGGCCGTGTTCTTGGCTGCAGCCTCTTCCTCGATTCTGGAGGTGAGATGAAGAGGACGGATGAAACTTACATGCAAGGCATTAAGTTTGAAGGTTATTAGACTTCTCAGAAAACTCATTCTTTGAAGCTGGATAATAAAAAAGATCATGTTGTTTAGCATTTGATAATTCAGTCGTTATTTATTTTATGCTGCTTTAAATATATTTTATAAATACTAAAACATAAACATAAAACCCCTGGAAGTCGGGGTGGACTGTGGATTCTGATGGTACTTATCAGGTTTTGCAGGAAAGAAAAGGATCTGGAAGGATGTGTAATTTCAAAATGCAAACTGTGAGCAGGACGTAAGACTCGAGTCAGAATATATTCAGAGCTTCTCTAACCTGGCCAGTGCAGCGAGGAGCTCTTCCTCCTTCTTGGCCAGCTGAGCTCGGAGTTCATCGATCTGAGCCTGCAGCTCTGCGATCTGGTCGGTGAGATCCGTGGAGTCTCCTTCCAGCTTACGTCGGTTCTTCTCCACCTCCTGACGCACTTTTTCCTCCTTTCTGAGACGATCTGTGAGCGACGACACAAAAACAACACAATTTATTGACCTGTTTAATGTGCGATTATTAGAATGTAAGGGGAAAAAATATATAAAAAATATATTCATACTGTAATCTGTTCTGCTCATGCACGTTGTAAAGTTGACACACTATCCTTACATTTAAGTTAACGACATTGTCTGACTGCATATATATCATAACATATATATCTTTGATTGCACAGCTCTGGACAACCCTCTATATCGTTATTGCACATTTACCACTGTCATCACTGTTTCTGCAAACTTACATCTCTTACCTCCAGCAAGTATTTTTACATTCAGTTGACAAGCCTGAATAAATGTTGTATTTCATTTTTTTTAAAACAGTAGGAATGTTATGTTAAATCATTGATGTATAAATCTCTTCCTATTCTTATTTTTTATATTCTAAGAGCTTATTTATGTATCTATTCTTATATAACATGCTGCTGTAACACCACAATTTCCCAGTTAGAGATCAATAAAGTAATTCTAATTCTAACACATTTACGCACGTTAAAAAAAATGAATACGATCTCATGTTATGTCAATCATGTTTGCACACAGACTCCAAAATTTCCCTCCATCATTTTTTGTGGATTAAAGTGCAAAGACCTTTAATCTGTTGCCCACTTTCATAATCTGCTCCTCTTCTGTGGCTGAAGTTAACATCATAACAACCCCTCCTCCCTGAAGATCAGGCAGCTGAAGTTCAGTATTAATGTGCAAATATAGAAGGCCCAGTTTTTAAAGTGAACTAACCATGCAACAGAAGTCTTAGCCTACATTTAGAAAACACATTTGTGGAAACATTTAGAGTATACCTTGACACAACTGGTTATAACTCTGAAGATCAAACAACTTTGACACCAAAGACTCGCCTTCTAAATCTGTGATCATTGCTTCGTGTTTATTCTTGAGTTTCTGCAGACTTTTGGACTTCTCCTCCTCCTCCGTCAGGTTGGTGGTGAACTCGGAGATCCTCTCCTCCAGCTGCTTCTTCTCCTGCCGTCACAAACAGGACATGAAAGTATCGTCAGAGCAGCTTAAATTAGTTTTCTTTTTGCCACCTCACATCATTGTCTGGATTTTGTATTTATTTGTCGACAGGCTGCAGCAGACCTTGTTGAGCTTGTTGTTCTGGTCGTCCAGCACCATCACGTCATCCTCCAACTTCTTCAGCTTGGCGTCCGTCGTGACCTTCTCCATTTGGAGCTTCTGCCGGGCTTCTTCTTCCTCGTCCAGCTGCTGCTCCAGGTCCTGCACGATCCACAGAAACAACTTTTAAAAATATGTATTCTTTTTTACATCCTGTATTCTCTCTCTCCTGTGAGTGTACTGACCGTGATGTTCTGCTGCATCTTCTTCCTCTCCGTGTTCATCTGTGTGATCCTCTCATCCTCCTCCTCCAGGCGGGACTCCATGTCATGAAGGATCTCCTCCAGCTCCTGCTTCCTGGTGGCCAGACGAGACCTCATCTCCTCGGCCTCGGCGCACAGCTCCGTCTCCGCCTGCAGCTGCTCCTGAAGAGCCAACTTCTCTGCATTCAGCTGGCGGAGGGGGGAGAAGAGTCACATCTCAAGAGTCAGCTCAATAATCTAACTTTGACAATTAACTCTGCGTGGTGAATCTGAATTTTCTGGGGGTATCATTTAAGAAAAACCTGCTGCAGATCGAAAACTAAATCTGTCGACTTTCTCACATTTAAAATAACTCAGACTTCAATTAAGGCCTGCGTCCAACGGGTAATACTTTTCAGGCAGAAAAGTGCTGGCCGCGCACTCAGGCACGCTCGGATGAAGCGCTTCACATGTGCCTCTTCTCTATGACAACCATCTCCTGACGACGGCTGCTAGACGACAAACACTGCTCCGTTTTTTTTACTGTACGTTTAATATTTTAGGTCGTTTTACCCCCCTTCACTATGAGCATCAATCGCAGGACGCTAGCCCTCCTAATCTGTCAGGATGATGAGCTGAATAATAATAAGATTATTAGATTTACTTTATTGATCCCCCGTGAGGGGATATATATGTGTGTGTGTTGCATGACTCTGTAGTCAAGCAACACACACATATGCTGAAGTATATACATACATGCACACAAACAGGATCCTATGAACATGCACTAATGGAGAGATGTCAGAGTGACGGAGCGGCCCACAGTGGGCACTCCTGAGCTGATGGTGGGGAGGGGGTTTGGTGCCTTGCTCAAGGGCACCTCGGCAGTGCTCAGAAGGTGATCTGGCACCTCTCCAGCTACCAGACCAACTTCCAAACTTGGTCCGCACCGGGACTTGAACCGGCGACCCTCCGGTTCCCAACCCAAGTTTCCACAGACTGAGCTACTGCCGCCCCCAAAGAAAATATCAGGGGAGAGCGCGAACGCAGTCCCCCCACTACCACAAATTATGCAGTCGAGATTCCCACATTTGGGGAATTCGCACAGGTCAGCCCCGCCGGAGTGCAATGGCCAGGCCTCGCCATGGGTGAACCACCTTCTTGATCATGGTATCTCCCCTGCCAGGTAAGTATAATACTGACGGCCTCACTACGAGGAGGAGGAGGAGGAGGATGTGGCTACACAACACGGCCCATAGGAAACAAAAAACACGGGGTGTATATGATTGAAAAGAGGGGCGGTGACTTCAGCAGAAATTAAAAGATTTTCAAGCAGCTGCACAATAAGAAAAGACAGAGGGCTCAGAAAAAGGACGCTGGGGGCGGCGCCTTTTCTCCGAGCCACTACTTACGCTCTCTCCTCATTGGGAACAACTGAATAAAGAAGCTGACACTCAGAATAGGTGGTCAGGAGGGTACAGTCCTCTAAGCGGGCAGCTCAGGTTCAAATCCGACATGTGGCATTTCCTGCATGTCATTCCCTACTCTCTTCTCCCCGATCTAAGTCTCCATCCACCGTCCTGTCTCTACAATAAAGTCTTAAAAATCCCCAAAATAAACCTAAAAAAAAAGAAGCTAATGAACTATTCAGACGTGTCTGGACCTTTGTGGAGACTCTTACCTGTTGTTGTTTGGACTCAAAATCTTTGAGCTGCTCTTCAGTCTGAAGCTGCCTCTCCTTCACCTTCTCCAGCTCCTCCTCTTTGGCCTGCAACTCGTCGTCCTGCCGGCTCACCTGCAGCAGAGGCTTCACCTGGAAGAGAGAAAAAAAACCCACAAGCAATGAGCGAAACAAAGATCGAAAATGTGATTTAAACACGTGCTGATGTTTGGACACACGGTGAATCGAGAAGGGGATTCTCTGCCGTCGTCGCTCTCTCACCTTGGTGAAAAGTCTCCACCACTGCCAGTTCTTGAGTTTGAGGTACGCAGCACAGTTCCTCTGGATCACTTTCATGGCAGTGAGCTGCTGCTGTCTCTTGGCGAACGCTCTACGGTCATCAAAAAAACATCATGTTTACCTTTCAGTCAGCTTCTTCACATCATTCACCAACAGAACTCAAGCTACAGTTTGGGAATATGCAAGCTCAACTCATAGATTAACAAATCCTGCCATCTGCTGCCCCCTAGTGGATCACCTTAAGACTGTTAAAAAAACAACAAACAAATGTGTAAAAACTACAATCTCCTCCAAATGTACTACAAACATGGTGTGTTCTCACCGTGTTGTACAATAGAGCTGAAAGAACCTCGATAACGGGGACCTCATGCTGACACTCTCTGTCGTCTTAATTCATATGATTTAATTAAACATTATTATAATATGTGCTGCAAACTGTAAACAGCTGTTACTTCCCCCCCGCCTTCAAAACTCATTCCAGTGTCACTGCTTCATACTTGCGGGCCAGGAATCCTCTGCACCACGCCTGGAAGCTGATGATGACGTCGGTGATCTTCATGTCTCGCTCCTCCTCCAGGTGAGCCAGGACTCCGGCTCTGAAGAACACTTTGCTCTGACCGATGCGGTACAGGTTCGGGTCCAGCTCCAGAGCTTTGATCTGACACAAAGAAGACAAGACTCAGTGACAAAGTCCGAACAGATCGATATTAATCAGACCAATCGTTAACGTCTGAAAGCAGATTTATCGTCCTTACCATGAGCTCACAGGCTTGTTTCCCGTCCATGAAGCCTTTGGGGATGGCGTTTGGAGTGAGGATTTCATACCTGCAGGACAGACGAGCAGAATTAAATCACACAAGAGGATCGACTCTGAATTTTAAAGAGGATGAATACATATAGACCACTGACCATTAAAGGAGCATTCTGTAACATATCTACTGAGCGAGATGATAAAGGTATCTTACTATCTGATCAGACATTAAGGAAACATGCTATGTTGAAGTGCTGGCTTCTCTGACAACAATGCAGCAGCCAGTATGTCCTCCTTCTAACTTTAGATTCTGCTCCTGAATGCTCTGGATTTGTTTGGACCAGAGAAGGTAGGCGCGTTTAAGGTGACCCCCCCCCCCCCCACACACATACAGCCGTTTTGGACGCCCCTTGGTTTACCAGATATGAGAGCAGTTATCAGGTCAACAGGTGTTGCAGTGATGGAAGCGGTCAAGAGAAGTGGTTCAGATAGAAGTGATTGTACCCGACCTAAAAAGCCTCTGCATGTTTCTAATAAGCTCCACGAGCAGAAACGTGCTCAAACTAGGATCAATATTGGAGATGCTTTTGAAAAATGGAGAGAGGTTAGAACACAGAAAGGTTTACAGACCCATGCAGAGCTGGATAAACACTGAAGCTTCAGAGTCCACCACATGGCAACCTGAGTGAACATCCACTCTAGAGAGGAGGGGGGGGGGGGGGAGACAGCTCTCTATAATGTTTAGAATTTAGACTGCAGTACCCATTTTAAACACTAGGAGTCAGAGTTACCTACTGCTCCTTTAATATAGCTGGTTGTGAGGCCCAGGTAAAGTTTATGTGTGGGAAACACTGTATGTGGGTAATGAGGCCTGACGCACAGCATGCGGTCAAAAGATTGCAGATACTTCTGTAGTTGTTTTTGAATTGTTTTCACCTCTGTCTGAACTCCTGGAAGACGATGCGGTTGGGGAAGCCCTGTCTGCAGATACGAATCCCCTCAAGGACTCCGTTACACCTTAGCTGGTCCAGAACCAGGTGAGGCTCCAGTTTACCCGCCTGAAGAAGAAGAAACACATTTAATCCTGTTTTTTTTTTTTTTTTTTATTCAAGCATCTTTAAAGCCATGCATCACTTCCTGTTCAGTACCTTCTTCTCGTGGTTGGGGATGATGCAGCGGACAAAGTTGGGGTTGGTGTTCCTGAGCGTGGTCATGAGGTTGCTCAGCTGTTCCTTGTACAGCTGACCCACGGTGCGGAACATGCCCTTACGAGTTTTGAACGCACCGTGCATGGAATTGGACATTCCCGCCACCTTATCCAGACCGACGATCCGGTCCACTGCGAGGACACAGATCACATTTTATTAAGCATCAAAATAAAAACATGGAGCTGTGATTGACAGGTGAACAGTCCAGGGTGTAACCCCACCTCTCGCCCAAAGACCCCCCCCCCCGCAAATGGGAAAAAGCAGTTTAGATAACTGCACACATTTGATTTGACAGAACTTACTGTCTCTCCACAGGTCACCGATGAATTTGTCTCCAGACTGGTTCAGCAAAGTGGCGACACACTCGTTCAGAGGATCCATGTTTTTCATCAGCCACTCGTCGGCTTTGTAGCCCACCTGCACCAGAGGAGAGCCACAGCTACCATAACGCACGGTACATGAAGTATGTTGATCCACAGTTAGTCTGCAGAACAGTCTACTGTATACGACTCCTTCAGAGTCAAGAGTCGAATACTCAGCTTGTAACAACAACATATTTATACGACAGATACAAAAACTGTAATCTTAAAGAGGACATATTCTCCTCCTTCTCCACCTTTTCAAACAGTCCCCTGTGGTCTAAATGAAACATCTGTGCTGTGGTCAAAATCTAACATGAATTAAGAACCAGAGGAGGTTTGTGACCCTGTATAAACCAGCTCTCTCAGAACGCTCTGTTTTGGTGTGTGTGTCTCTTTAAATGTAATGAGTATCTGTCTAACGTCCAGTCACAAAAATCTCCCTAAAATTATTATAAGACACTTTTCATTAAATTTTAAATTATTCCACACATGTCAAAAACCTCAATGATCACAGAAGACGATTGAAAATTGTATCCCAAATCATGTTCAGAAAGGAGCAGGCAGAGTAATAAATCTTATTAAGCCCCACCCATCACTTAAACCTGTTTCCAGCTGCCTTTCATTAAACAATTTTAATGAGATTTTAAACTTTAACTCTACACTGTAAATTTTAACTCTTTTTATATTTTTTACTTTATTCATTTGAATTAATTTCATTTGAATTATTTTAATTTGAACATATTTTTAGATTTCATAATCTCAGTGATTTTTTACATTTTCTATTTTAATGTTTCTTTTCTTTCCTCTGTCATGATGCTTTTGATGTCTTGTGTGAAGCACTTTGAATTGCTGAATTGTTGTTGAAATGTGCGACATAAATAAACTTGCCTGGCCTAAAGAACAAACAAGAGATATCTAGATAGTCTGTCCAATAATAATAATAACTTGCTGCAAACATAATACCTACAGGTATGTTATTTAAAACAAAAAGAACAGCTACCTTTCCAGCGTAGTGGACGATACAGAAATCGACGTCGTCCTTGAGTTTCTTCGGTTTCTGGAACTTGGGGTTTGATCCCTGCTCCTGAGTCACCTTGTCCACAAAGGTCTTGTCCGTGGCTTTGGGGAACCAGCACTCCTCGTCCAGCAGAGCCAGGATGCCTGGAGGCCCAGTCTGGTGTGAGAGAAGAGCGAACCAACATCCGTCAGAGAAACCGTGTGGCTGAGCTGTTAATTGTACGAAGGACAGAACCATAAGTTGTAGACGTCTTACAGTTTTCTCGATGAGGTCGATGCAGGGCTGCAGGTCGAGGCCGAAGTCGATGAAGCTCCACTCGATGCCCTCCCTCTGGTACTCCTCCTGCTCCAGGATGAACATGGTGTGGTTGAAGAGCTGCTGCAGCTTCTCGTTGGTGTAGTTGATGCACATCTGCTCAAACGAGTTCAGCTGCAGGAAAAATAAAATAAAAAATTAACCTGCGACTCAAATGTTCTCGTTTCAACTTACTGCAAGTTTATGTCCGAACACAGCGCTTTGTTGTATCACAGGACTGAGCTGCTCACCTCAAAGATCTCAAATCCAGCGATATCCAGGATGCCGATGAAGGAGGCGCCCTGCCTCTTGGTCTTGTCCAGGGCCTTATTGATCCGCATCACCAGCCAGCGGAACATCCTCTCGTACGAGGCTTTGGCCAGAGCCTCGACCGCAAACTCGGCCTGCTCCTGAGTCTGGGCCTTCTGCACGTAGTCCCTGCCAACCTGAAAAAACACAACATTTAAGAATCAACAACATCTGCAGGAGGGATTCCATCAACAATCACATGGCGGCTGCTTTCCTTCAATGTCACACTTAGAGGGAAGTCTAAATTCTATAATCATGTTTTCTATCATTTATTTATTTTAAATCTTGGATTTCCTGGTTGATTAAAACCCCAACAACCTAGTCTTGTGTCAAACCCAAGGACACATCAACATGTTGCTGCAGGTGCTGGGGATCGAACCCCCGTACCTTCCTAAGGAGAGACGACAGACTCTACCACTGAGCCACAGCCGCTCCTGGATTTCAATCATTCTCAGGATTTATTTCATTTTTAATCATGTTTGAAATTCCATTATTTTGCATTTCAGATCCGTTCGTTTTCATGCTTTTATTTTGAAATTATGTACCGTCTTAAGGTAAGGTTTAAACTGTGTTTAAATTTGAATCTAAACTGATGAACAACTTCTCTAAAAACACGTGTGACGAGGCACAGGTGGCCTAGTGGTTAGTTGCCCTAGAAGCGGTCAGCCTGGGTTTGAATCCGCCCTGGGTTAGCGACTTAGCAATTTGCTAACCCTTCGTCTTGATATCTCGGGTTAACAACGTTTTAGAGAACGAGTTGATTTCAGACGTTCAGAGTGTTTCATCTGTGGAAAAATATCTGTCATGTGATTATAGAAAACTGTCAGACAAGTCATCACCTCACAGACAAAAATAGAAGTTTGCATCCTAAACTTGTTTTGCTGTAATTATTATCTTTTTTTTAAGAAACGTTCGTGTATGAATCGTCGTGCAGACCTTAATCCGAGGAGACAGGATGGCTCGGGTGAAGTCGGTCACATTGACGCTCAGCAGGTGACACACTTTCTGGGCGGCTGAGGGGTGAAGCGGGAAGGTAGAGCGAGACAGTATGAGCATGAGAAACGATGATCATGATGGTTGTTAAAGTCTTTATATGTGATTTTTTGATCCAGCAGATGTCGCCCTTGAGCACCAGCATGAAACTAAAACAACTAGAGCTGCATTGTTGTGTTAGCATGCTAATGCTAGCGATCTTTATTATGCTGGTATCTTCACACTGCATGTAAATTTACCTGAAATGAGCGTGATCTAGAAACACAGTTAAGCAGTGAGTACAGTATGTTATTCTTCTTTTCTCTAGTCCCTCAATTAAACAACTTTTATACATGAGGGGAGGAGTCAGCCGGCCGTCCTGGCGATGTAAACAAACTGAAGATAGGACTCTGAAAACATCACAGACAGTGGGACTCGGGTGTTACACCCATTGTAGACAGTCATGACTCACAGAGTTATTTTCAGAGGATAGACTTGATTTATATTATATTTAATTGTGAAAAATCTCATATAAAGACTTTAAAGGTTCTGCGTCTGTTAAGTGTTCATACCCGTGTCGTCGGGCATGGAGGCCTGGTCAGAGTGACGCTCTTTCTTGAAGGTCATGTTGCCGAGCTGCAGCACCGCCGACACCACCTTCAGCAGACCTGACAAACACAAAGGAAGACTTTCACTGTAATAATAATAATAATAATAATAATAATAATAATAATAATAATGACACATTCAGAGCAAATGACAAATGTAAAGTTACCGATTATTTCCTCCTCAGGGATGCTCATGATGTTAAAGGCGTCCCAGGTCTCCGTGAACAGGTCTTTGTCCTGCTGGCCGGGGATCGTCATGTTCCCGTTGGACAGGAAACGGTACTTGCTGTAATCCTCCAGACACAACTCGGCTGTACAGAGAGGGAGAGAGAAGCGTGTTAGGAGTTTAACGGGCGGGGGGGCGCCGGTGGGTCAGTGATTAGCGCGCGCCATTCCATGTATGGAGGCTGTAGTCTTCCAAGCGGGCCGCCCCAGGTTCGAGTCCCGCCTATGGCTCCTTTCCTGCAGGTCACTCCCAACTCTCTCTCTCCCTGATTTCTGAATCTATCCACTGTCCTATCCCTCGATTAAAGGCACAAAAAACCCAAAAATAAATCTTTAAAAAATAAGTTTAACAGGCGTGTTCAGAAGAGAATAAAACGTTTTCATTGTCCTGATTAACTCTGATGTTGTGAACTTTCCTGCTGCTCTATAACTAAGCTGAGTGCTGATGGATTAAATAAGATACCACTCGAGTAGTAAATGTCGTCTCTGTGGCTTATTTAAAATCTTAAACACCTCTACATTCCTGCTTTCCATCTAACAGCTCAGTCAGTTTTTATCCCTGATGTAATAAAAAATGTCTCACAGCGCAGCTTGTCCCCGGCGCCGGTCAGCATGTAGTAGAAGATGTGGAAGCTGCGTTCATCTTTGGCTTGACGAATGGCACGAGACTTCTCCAGCAGATCTGGGATCACTTCAGTCAAGAGCAAACGAGTGCAGAAGCGAAAATGGGGAAATAACACGACACCTTAACAATGTGAAGCAAGAAGAAAAGGCTGAAAAGAGCTGAAATCACCCGGTTGTTTTTGATGCTTTGAGGTCAAAACTGAAGGATAATTCACAGCTGATGAGTCTTCATGTTTAAAAGAAGGTTTGGTTCTTTTGAGAAGTGACTCAATATTTTATGAAAGCAGCAAATATATCCTTAACCAAATATGTCTGAATCAAATGAGGACAAACAAACTGAAAGCTAACCCGGATATCATTTACATCCTCTGGTCTCATCTAGTGTTGTAGTACGCGAAGATCTCGAGACCACTTTTTGAAGGTCTCAGAATCTAAAGCATTTTTACCGTCTTGTCTCGGTCTCAGACTGGGCAGACTCCAGATTTTAAATCAAGACCACCACTGATCGGCTATTTCTCCATCATCATTACTAAGATTAGAAGGAAAACGCCTCTTTAAACAACTAACGTCAATTCAGTCTAAGTGAGTGACACGCCCACTGCGCACAAGAGGATGATTTTTCAGTGATATTTATGGTCTTGGTCTTGACCCATTCTCAATCCCTAAATGTACGTCGACTGTGCCGTGTGACTCCACAAAGTATTCAGCTTCTTTATTTTTTAAAAAGGATACAAGTTTCAATGTTGGCTCCAACGATGTATCCGGTGACGTCAAAGTTGATCCGGATGAATTTCCCCTACAGAAGAGAAAAACAAATCAATATGTTTAAAAACTTGTAAGATGGTTACTGATATTTTAATCTTGGATTTCCTGGTTGACCCTAACCCTAAACCCTTTTCAAATTGTGATAAATTGCTGGATGGTAAATAAGACTTGAGCTTGTTTAGTTCTTTTCTAGTCTTCTTATGTCTTAGCCAAGGACACATCGCACATGTGGCTGCAGGTGCTGAGAATCGAACCCCTGACCTTCCAGTTCAGAGACAACAGACTCTACCACTGAGCCACAGCTGCGCCTAGATTTCAATTGTTCTCAGGATTTATCTCGTTTTTAATCACGTTTGGAAATTCCTTCATTTTTGCATTTCAGACCAGTTTGTTTTCATGCTTTTATTTTGAAATTTTCTACCATCTTGAGGTAAGGTTACTTGTTTTCCATCACCATGACTACAGGGCAACGCTGCAAAGGTTCACCTAAGGGGTCAAAATAGCCCGAGATTCTAAAACCAATGCGTTTGCTTTTGCACCAAGCGTACGCACTCAGTGTTTGATGCTTCAACATGGTTTTTATGATTTTTTTTATTTTTTTTTATTAGGAAAAGCACAGTATGGTTTACATTGCACATAACCTTCATTACTTGACAGACTTCCTTGATCCATTGTTTGTCCCCCATTCCGCCGGGACTTGGGAAAGACTGTTTCCAATAACTTTTAATAACCTGACAGTTCCAGAATATGTGGAAGTGGTCGGCTCCGTTAGACCCACAAAGTCTCCAACAAGCATCACCACCCCCTTGATGTCTTTTCTGAACGGGTGTAACAAAAAAAATCTCACAACATTTTTTGAGGAGAACTCACGCCACGTGTTCGACCTGTTGAGATCCACTGTAACCGGCATATCTTTTCCCAACTCTCCACAGAAATTGTCACATTGCCTTCTTCTTCACACTTCTTCCTTATGTATTCTGTGCTCTCTTGTTTAGATTGTAGGATGCCGTTATATAATCTGGAGATGATTTTATTACAAGATTTGGACTTGAGAAGAGATAGAAATATCTGCAGGAACCCTGATTCCCCCTTTTCAAAAGCCTTCTTCAGGTTTTGGTTAAAGTAATGCCTTACCTGCAAGTATCTGTAAAAATCATCCCTTCCCAAACCATGTTTATTTTGTAGAGCTTCAAAGCTCAGAAATGCCCCCTTGTGGACAAATGAATAGTAGGTAGTCAAACCTTTTGATGTCCACTGATTAAATCTGCCATCACTTTTATTTGGAGCAAAATCTGAATCGTGAGCACACCACCTAAGAAGTTTAGATGACTCTCCTACTCTGCAAATTTTTACTATTTCCTGCCAGGATTTCAGAAGAATGTCCTGCATGGGATCATCTGAAACCAACAGTTCACCATGTAATTTGTTATCTGCTAATAGAGCTGGTATTGGTATGTTTTTACCGTTGTGCCTTCTACATCCTTCCAACCTGCCGTATAGGTTGATGAACATAAACAAACTAAAGGTCTCAGCTGGGCTGAGTAGTAATATTCTTGTAGGCAGGGGAGACCCATTCCACCTTTTTCTTTTCTCAATTGAAGGGTCTTATATTTAATCCTGGCCTTTTTCCCCTGCCATATATATCTTGATATTAACCTGCCCCATTCTGAAAACTGTTTAGGAGGTATTTTGACTGGTGGTTTTTATGATTTACAGATTGTTGTGTTTTCAGAGGCTTCGAGTCGTTCTTACAAATCTTGAGGAGTTGTCGTTCTTGACCGTCTTGGCGTTGCCGAAGGCCTCCAGGATGGGGTTTGCCTGCAGCAGCTGTTTCTCCAGTTCACCCTGACAAGAGGAGACCAAAGTTAAAAATCAAAGTCCAGATCAGATCATCACAACCTGAACCCTGACATTAGTCGAGAAAGCACTTTAAACTGTAACTCATGCAACGTCTTCATGCAGATCCTTCAGTGACTGAACCCAAGCTATGTGTATTAACCTGCTCATCTTATTAAAAGAAAGCTGTGTGTGTTTACAACCTCAGGGTATGTTATTATTGCCCAATCACCCACACCAACACTGAACCCTGCACATTCCAGCACACACATCCCCGCAGCACAGCAAGTCCACTCAAGTCCAACAAGAACCCTGTGAAAGCGTCTGTGAAGACACAAACAAGAGAACACAAGAAGCACACAGGCCTGTTAACCAAAAAAAAAAAAAACACAGGAGATCTGCGACACCCCGAACAAGCTGCCTAACAATGACAAACTCCAGACCGGCCAGTTCAGAGAACTTGATAGCTACTGGGTGGAGTGGGATACTTTCACTTAGCTTGAAAAACCTGTTAAAGAAACCAAAACCAGCAAGATTTATTTCTGGGGTTTTTTTTAAATGACAAATCTCAGATAAGGTTTCTGCTCAGCTGTTCTTTCATTTTGCTTTTTTAAAAGATAAATAACTATGCCCCTAGTGGTTAAAATGGGTATTGCATTGCATACTCAGGTCACCATGTGGTGTACACTGAAGCTTCAGTGTTTATCCAGCTCTGCATGGGTCTGTAAACCTTTCTGTGTTCTAACCTCTCTCCATTTTTCAAAAGCATCTCCAATATTGATCCTAGTTTGAGCACGTTTCTGCTCGTGGAGCTTATTAGAAACATGCAGAGGCTTTTTAGGTCGGGTACAATCACTTCTATCTGAACCACTTCTCTTGCCCGCTTCCATCGCTGCAACACCTGTTGACCTGATAACTGCTCTCATATCTGACAAACCGAGGGGCGTCCAAAACTAAACAAATCCAGAGCATTCAGGAGCAGAATCTAAAGTTAGAAGGAGGACATACTGGCTGCTGCATTGTTGTCAGAGAAGCCAGCACTTCAACATAGCATGTTTCCTTAATGTCTGGTCAGAGAGTAAGGTCACTTTATCATTTCACTCTCTAGATATCTTACTGATTGGACCTTTAAGTAATTTGTATGAATTCACTTTTGAAAGAAACAGAGACATTTAAGACATGCATGCTTTAGCTGGTTAGTAGAGCGTTGCATAGAGACACTTAGTGAACAGCATGCAAACGGAGAGATGAACTCACATGTGATAACACTGCACTGCCCTGCAGGAGTGAGAGAGGAGAGAGTTCAACACATTTAATACCAACTCATGAACACACACAAGTTACAGATCTGCAGAGGAAACCTGAAGGAGTCATTTATCAAACATTTCACACAAACACAGAGAGGTGAGGCCGGCACGTCCAGACCTGAGAGGAGAATGTTGAGTACATCATAGAAGTGGACTGATGTGGAAAAAGCAAAGAATATGAGGAAACTACATGCGTCCATCGTGGCTCTTCAGACGACCCTTCAGATAGAGAATCAGTCAGACAAACGATAAAGAGAAGAATCTACTGACCTGATCTTTCTTGGATTTAAAAGACGAGGCGATGTGGGCGAGGTACTGAATCACTTTCTTGGTGTTTTCCGTTTTTCCTGCACCCGATTCCCCGCTGTTCAAAAGAACAGTAAAAACAGATTAAATCAGAAGTTGTTTCAATCAGAGGTTTCAATATGAGGGTCATCATGACATTGACTGTAGAGGCAAGCTAACAACAGTAAAGCCACCAGAGGCTGTGGGTTCAATCCCGGCCTAAGTCTTAGTCTAAATGTCTTGGTCTTGTCTCAGTCTCGGAGCACTCTGGTCTCAGGTATATGTCTTGGTCTTGGCTACAAGGGTTCCCCGTCTCAGGGCTTTTAAAGCGACACATTCAACAAGCAGGATGAGAACTTTTCTTATAACCTGAACCTAAATTCACAAGACAAATCTTCCAACTGCTCACAAACCTTCTCACACCAAAAGTCATTCTGCTTTTTTTAAGATCATTACTGCAAACTAAATCTAGATTTCCAAAAAAAAGCTTGAACCAAAATTCTGTGCAAAGTACAAACAAACTTGGGCAGAAATCATTGAAAAGTCATCCTAACTTAATAATTGTGAATGCATTAAAAAAAACAGAACAGAGTGACCTACGTGCAGAGGATGGACTGGTCCTCCCGGTCTGTGCAGAAGGAAAGATTCAAAGTTAACAAACAGAAATAATGAGCATCAAATAAAGAGCATGTGATGGTTAAAGTCTGCAGATTATTTGGAGTAAAAACTGAGTCAGGGGGAAACAATTTGTTCATTTATTAGTTTGAAAATTTAGATTAAATATCTTTTGGTTTGAAGAAGAGAGTTGGAATTTAAAGAAGTCTTCAAGACGACTTTTGGAGAGTATGATAGACGCTGGTACCCTGCATCATGCTCCTGTAGGCCGTGTCTGTGATGGCGTAGATGTGAGGAGGCATCTCGTGTCTCTTCTTGCCCTTGTACATGTTCACGATCTCCTCGCTGTAGATGGGCAGATACTTGTACGGGTTGACCACCACGCAGAAGAGACCAGAGTACGTCTGAGTGAGAGACAGGCAGAGGGACAGTCAGAGAAACAGTTAATGGAAAAAAGGAGGAGGAGTCTAAGATGATGTTGTCATGATGTGAACCCACATAGATGAGTCCGGAGTAGTATCTCTCCTTCAGGTTGTGCAGCACCGACGCCTCGTTCAGGCAGGTCAGCTCCGCCATGTCCTCCACCTTGTTGAACTTGGGCGGGTTCATCTTCTGAATGTCGTCCTTGTTCACCTTCACCTGAGATTAACAGAAGTAACATTTGATTCATTCAGATACTCATGAACCAACACATCAAATAAGACATGATAAGGCTGTTTTCACACATGCACTAATCACTATTTCGACAAAAAAATTCAGGACAGTCTGCCCCTGAAATCCTCCAGAGTCGCTTATTTGGGGCAGGAAGAGACTCAGTCTGTAGGGACTTAGGATAGGAACTGGTTCAAGTCCAGATTCGAGGCAATTCTTGTTACTGGTCTGGTAGCGAGAGAGGGGCCAGTTCATTTCCTGGGCACTGCTGAGGGGGAACTTCTTGAGCGCTCTCACATCTTTCCATCAGTGCATTTCCAGTGGATCGTGTTCAGCCTGTGTGTGAAGCATGATCAATAACAACCTTCACAACAGGGTCCTAAGATGCTGACTAGACTCTTCTCCTCTGTCGCCCCCCGGTGGTGGAATGAACTTCCAAACTCCATTGAATCTGCAGAGTCTCTCTGCACCTTTAAGAAAAAGCTAAAGACCCAGCTCTTTCATGAATACCTACTAACTTAATGATGATGGTCTCCATATTATTGTTGATGATGATGGTAATGACGATGGTTTTTGTTTGATAACGACGACTTATAAGATGGTTTCTATACTGATTAGAACTCTCAAGAACTGCCCTCAATGTTGTGCTTTGCCTCTGGTCACTTCCTGTCAGCACCTGTGTGTCCAATCAGACTCAAAGCTGATCGTTTGCTCTTACTGACATTGTTCCCTTTTTTCTAGATCCTTGCTTGTGTTGTTCTTACTCTCTGATGTACGTCGCTTTGGATTAAAGGTGTCTGCTAAGTGAATTGTAGAATTGTAGAGTGTAAAAGTAATTTCCCCTTGTGGGATTAATAGGATATCTTCTTCTTCTTTTTGAAACCTGTGCCTCACACTGTGTAGTTTCCTTGTCAGACGTCAGCTTGGGGGGGGGGTCTCGAGAAGCAAGACATCGTGTACAGGATGCTGCAGGAATACCCTGAAGATTCAAGGACATTTTCAGGATTTCTGTGCACACCTTAACAAACGATTGTTTTACCTTCCTACTCGAGTCGGTGAGCTCCACGATGCACTCGTCTCCATGCTCCTCTTTGACAGAGCCGACCTCAAAGCCCAGCTTCTCGGAGGGGATCCACACCAGCTTCTTGGTGGACCAGTCGGCATGGTCCAGAGCGTTGCTGGACCCCCCACGGTCACCGTACAGGAACTTATCCGCGTCCGTCATGTTAGCTTCAGGACAGAGAGAGAGAGAGGAAGAGCATTTAAAACAAACATGAAGCCGTTAAGGGAAGTTGAAGTTTTTAAAAAGGGTCCTAACATGTTTAAATATTTGAGCTCAGTGAGGATCTGGCCTCAGACATCAACTGAAGTTAACAGAAAAACTCCTTCACATTGTCAGGCTACTACATAAAAAGAGATTAGACCAAACAAACAAGTCTAACATCAAGATTGTATTTTAGTCTGGAAGTAAAGGAGGAAAAGATTATTCTCTTATTTACTGTGACATCTCCACAGGCTGTATGAAACACGGACGTATCACAGTGACATCATCCACTGGTTACTAGAGGCATTTTGAAGCCTGACAGCGGTGGTGGCCATATTGGAAATGCAGACTTTAGCTTACTTTCAATCAGCCTTGTAAGAGACAAAAAGGTTAGAACTTAAGCTGCCTGCTACAACCCGCCCACCTGTCAGTCAACTAAACCACGCCCCTAATTGTGCACATTTGTTAATAATCCTTCTGCTTTATTAAAACAAAACAGATGAGTTATAAAAAAGAAAAATTTACCCCAGTACAGTGCAGATATATTGAATAAAGCTATCAAGACAAAACACTTTTTTGTACCAGGCTGTAAACATGTTTAATTCTCCTGTAAGATTTTAATATGGGACATAATGGGGATTCCTTGGCTTTTGGAGCCAGCCTCTAGTGGACACTTGAGGAACTGCTGGCTTCATTTTTAATACCCAGAGGTTGCCACTTTTTTTATTTTGCAGTAATTTGTTGCTAAATTCTTAAAAGCGTGGCCTTGAAGCAGAACGGGATTTTCTGGCACAACTTCACCAGCTAACAAGGAGCATGACGAGTGAACGGTTCCAAGAGGTGAAAAAGCTCCAGCAGCATTTTGTAGCACGAAGTTCAATTTATTAACAAATTAGACCGACGCGTTTCGGATTGTGGCCTTCATCGGGGTCTTGGCCCACGGCAATCCACAAGCCGAAACGCGTCGGTCTAATTTGTTCGGTCTGAAGTGTTGCTGAAACATTTTGATCTGTAAAAGCATGGCCTCAACATCAAGCTGCCTTAAGTCTCAATGTGAGAGTACAAGACGTTTACTGTATGTAACAGCCCCAAAAGCTTCATGATACCTTTAAAAGTCATCAGAACTCTGTGATCTTTCTTCATCTCTGGACAAAACCGAATCAATCAACCAAGTACACAGCAACAAAATCAATTCACCAGCCCATTAAAGATCATCGATTAACCTGTTTCAACTCTTTCTGTAAATATCTGGATCCTTGTTATCAACTTTAAATCAGAAAATCAGCTGTATGCTACATCCATCCTGTCTCTCATTATCCAGACCCGTCGTTCTCTTAGTGGAGGCGTTTATTCAAATCTTTGTTTCTTTGCAGCTCTGGTGTTTTGTTGAGCAGATAATCATGACCCATGATTCACTGTACAACACAGGAAGTTAAGTACAGTTAGCACACATAGTGTCACTCGTGTGTGATGAATCTTTTCTCATGAATGTTGAACTGTGTGTGCGAGTGTGTGTGTGTGTGTGTGTGTGTGTGTGTGTGTGTGTGTGTGTGTGTGTCACTCTTCAAAGTGATGAGATGAAGTTCACTGTCAGGAGGTAACATGAGCAGCAGCACAAGTTCAGGCACATTAGCGCCTCAGCAGCTGTTCCCTGCATTATTACCGACATGAATCCTCCTTTCTCTTCGACCTTGTAAGGTCGTCAGAATGTTTGACTCTTCAATACCACTTTGTTAAAAACCGCACAGTGACAATACAGATATCTTCTATGTATCATATGCTCCGCCCCTGTCTGATCAATGGAAAGTCCCGTCTTGTCAAACCTGTTTAATGTTAATCCTTTTTGTGTATTCATGACCTGAGGCTCCACACAGTCACACACAAACTATTAGCCACTCTCACTCTCCACATCTCCTCTACCTGTCCCGGCCTTTATTCCCGATCCGACCCACATTCCTCCCTCACCACCTCATTACCAGGAATTCCACAAATTCCTTTCTCCCACTCCTCCTTGTTATCCGCAGCCCCTCTCGGTACAAACGCAATGTCCGCTACAGGTAATAGATGTGCAGGTATTACACATGACGCCTCTGCTGGAGGACAGGAGGACAGCGAGTGGCTGCGTGCGTTTAAAGGCCTGCAGGAGGGAAGGGGGGGGGGGGGGGTATGTAAAAGTTGTGTGGATGCTCCGCAGCAGCCAGAGAGGAAGGAAGGAATGTCAGGAGCAAGTCCGGGCAGAGAGAGAAAGAAATGTCATAATTCCCCCGACCGCACCCTGAAGACAGACTCCCCTCCACCGCCTGGTTAGAAAAGGTGAAAATATCCTGCAGCTTCTTCACCAGCGTCATGTTTAACCTTTTTTAAAATGTAGAATATAATTCCTCTTAAGATGCATCAGTTACATTTAAAGAGGCATTTCTACATGTCGTGATGTTTGATCAATGACATGTATAAGAAGAGTGAAAAAGAAAACATGTGACAAATATGTTAAACAAACTTATAGGATGTAATATTCAAGAAGACATGTCATGCAAGAGGCTGCAAGGAGGTGCAGAGGTTCCTGGTTTGAATCCCCGTCTGACTGAAGCTGAGTCTCTCTGTGTGGAGTCTGCATGTTCTCCCCTGTGTGTGTGTGGGTTCTCTCCAGCTTCCTCCCACAGTCCAAAGACATGCTCGTTACGTTAACTGGTGACTCTAAATTGTCCGTAGGTGTGAATGTGAGTGTGGCTGGTTATCTGTCTCTATATGTCAGCTCTTTGATTGACAGGTGAACAGTCCAGGGTGTGACCCCGCCTCTCTCCCAATGACAGCTGGGATCAACTCCAGCCGCCGCCAACCCCCAAAAAGCGGTAAAGATAATGGATGGATGGATGTCATTAGCTTCTATAACTAATACAAATCAATGGGAGCTGTTCTATCAAAAGTAAAGTGATGGATTCTACTGGTTATTTTTTTGTATTTTAGGAGGATTCAAACAAAGCGCTGCGTTTCTGTGAGCCCTTCTTCAAGGACTTAAGACAAGTTTGAGTCATTAAATATCAGGCGTGCATGATGTGAGAAAAAAATATTTCATGTTCAATAACCTCGTTTGATATTGTCATGACAACAAGAAGTGCCATCAGTAGACTAAAGCCCTAATTCAAGGTATTTTCAGACTGTTTTTTTTCGTTGCAAAAGTTGCTGTAACGAAGCTCAGTTGTCATCACGTCTTTGAACGTTCATATTGATTCTGCTACCGCAACAAGAATTCACAGACTGGAAAACCAATACAACAACTTCTCCAGCTTCAGATTTATTCAACACACACACAGCGAGCGGCAGAGATTAGAGCAACAACAACTGTGTTAAGGCAGCTACAGCAACATCGATAAGTCTCAGATAAGTTTCTTATTCTAAATCCACTCTGATCCTGTATTTGATCATGTCTATAAACCCCTCTATTTCAGCCCTGCTCAGAACAGGCTGTTTCTGTGTCTGTACCTTTAAATATGTAAATGAGCTGTGTCTGACCACGCCCCCTCTCTGGAAGGGCTCGGGTGTACTCGGTGCTTTCTCGCTCCATGTCCTATTGTTTATGGTGAGAAGGCAGACTCAGAGGGCAGAACAAACACCTAGCTGTGGGAGTGTCACCCACCTGGGGGAGGGGCTACTGCCCTTTGTGATGTCATGAAGGGAAAATCTTAAAATGGCAGCAATATCTGCCATTTGAGAAAGAAAAAATTTGAGAAATGAGAAAATACAAGTGAAGGCCACCCAGTGCAGAGATTTCTCTTCACTACAAAAAGCAGGATTCTGACATAATGCAAAACCAGTTGCAAAAATGTCAAGTCTGTTTCACTTATGGATCCCAAACTCAAAGAGTGTTTTTGTTTTTAGGCTCAGAGCAGCTCGTCGGCCCAGCTGGAGGACGGATGATATGTTTGTCTGGAGCAGGGAAGGCAGCGCGTGTTTGTGTGTGTGTGTGCGTGTGTTTACAGAGCGAGGGATAGAGGGATTAGTGCACAAGGTGTCATCTGTGTCCCTCTTAAGTTCATTATGTGCTCAGACTCTTGAAGCTCAGTGAGGGGGAGGAAGAGGAACAAGAGCTGCACGTCTTCTGCTTTGAGAAACAACGCAGCTCTCCCAGAGTTCAGAGACGTTTACAGGCATTGGAAAGATCTACAGATTGATCCACCACGCCGAGGAGTGACTGCATCACTTTAACTTTAGAGAACATGACACACTTGTGACATCCACATGTGTGCAGCCTTGATGCTGGTCCTCCTCGGGCTTACTTCCTCAGGAAGTTGCACAAACTCAAAGTCCGCACATTTTGACACTTTGTGGTTCAAAGTGATGAGAAGATACTGCAGGCCTTCATCGGCACGCCCTCAGTCACTTAGGAGCCGACACATCCAAAACTTCTCAAGAATATAGTCTGAATTTTTCTGACTTCAAGCAGCATGTGAGGACGAGTTTGAACCTCGGAGCCCCACAGCTTTAGATTTGCTGCAGATAGCCTCCTATTGTCTGTTTAATCGCTCTTCTCCTGCATGCTGCATCTCCTGTCCTTGGCTGCCTGTCAATCCCACCCTTTATCCTCGGCTCTTACCTAAGACACACACACTCTTCGGGCAGAAGAGCACAATCCGGGCCACATGCGAGCCTGACAGGATGAACAGAGGGGTGGTACTGAGTAGTTTTGGTCAAAGTGTTTTTTGGGGTTAAACAGCTGATCTGTGAGCTTGTGAAGATGAGGAACGGGCGGGGAAGGTGTCAGGTGTTTGTTTTTGATTTCTCGTACTAGTGTTGTAGTCAAGACCGCTTTAACAGAGACCGAGACAAGACCAAGACCAGAGTGCTGCAAGAGCGAGACAAGACAAGACCTGAGGGCTGCAAGAGCGAGACAAGACCAAGACCTGAGAGCGAGACAAGACCAAGACCAGAATGCTGCAAGAGCGAGACAAGACCAAGACCAGAGGCCACTCACTTAGACCGTAAAGCCGGGAAGTATGCAGAGACAAGACCGAGACCTTTTAAAAGTGGTCTTGAGACCGAGACTGATTACGGGTACAGTACAACACTACCTTGTACACCCTAACCTTAAATGGAACAGAGATGGGTTCTTGCGGTGACAGATTTTCAATCCTCGATACGATTCTGCTAAAAACCAAACAGGATAACTTGTTTCATTACCATGGCAACAAAACTCCTATGTTGTGATCAACTACAACATGGAGGAGTTGGATCACGCGGGGCATGTAACCACTAAAGGCACCCATCAAATGAGTTCTTGTTTTTAATAAACAAGAAGAGCGGGCAGACTTCTGCACACTGATGAAACTGCAGAAAAACTTTGGCAACACAATTTGTGCAATAAAGACAGCGCGCTCTCTCTCTCAGGGCAGACTGTTTTTTCAAAACACAACCAAAGATCTGAAGTTTGTTTCTGTGTGTGCATGTAAAGCACTTGGTATAGAACAGAATCAGCAACTGTGATAACCTTAGTCGGCTCTGCTTAACTTCCACGATGAGCCAAAACAGAGGAGAATAGATTTCAACCTGCAAACTTTATTCTGAAGTCATGAGCAGAAAAAAAAGCAGAAACGTTTTTTTTTTTTTTTAAGTTGTGTGAAAGCAGCATCCTCTTTTTGAGACTGCTGCGTGAATATTCTGTATCCTGAGGGCACGGACACGGACACACACACACACACACACACACACACACACACACACACACACACACACACACACACACACACACACACACACACACACACACACACACACACACACACACACACACACACACACACACACACACACACACACACACACACACACACACACACGCGCAAACCTCCTGACAGATAAAAACTACAAAGCAGGATCAATTATCAATGATCAGCTCGTCAGGAGGGGGAAGGGGGGGGTCCTGACTCACTCATTATCTCCGGATGCGACCCCTCCTCACATTAATGCATGCCTTTAATCAACCTGTGGTTAAACTGGTTGATGCTCGTACTGGTTACACTGGTGGTGGTTGTTTGCTTTGCTACCATGATAAAGAGAAGTGAGAGAGAGAGAGGCTTTTTGTCACGCTAATCCTGCAGCATCGACACAGACAGGTTGAAGAACCTTATGATAAAACTTTAAAACATTATATTTTACACACACTGCAGTTCGTAATGAGCATGCGCAGGTTTTAAAAGTCTCCGTTTATCTCCTGAAGAGAACACCTGGTGAAGCCGGCGGCATTTCTTTCATCTTTCTCTCAAACTCTTTACCTTCAACCGTCTTTTTCTAGGAAGTTTCCCACCCTCAAAATAACTCAAATATGTCGATTTAAAAACTTTAAAACATATAAAGGAAAAAGAAAAAGAAAGGTAACACACCTGGTGTTCAGCAGCAGGCACTGTAGGTGAGTCCGGTCCGTGTCGCCTCGGTTCTGAGCAGGTTTGAGGGTGTGAACGCAGCCGGCTCTGAGTGTCTCTTGTCGGGGTGAAGCTGCTCCGTCATGCGGTCCAGCTGCAACTCAGTGCGGGGCTCGGAGAGGAGGATGGACGCTCTGCACCTTTAATCCGCCCTGTTTTAGTTTTCGCAGGTAAAGTTGAACGCCCCGCCCCCTCCCTCTCACCCTCTCACCCTCTCTCTCTCCCTCTGTAAAACCCGCTGAGCGTGCTGCGTTCAAGAACACCACGTAAAACATTGCTTCTCAATCAGAAAGTAGCCTTGAATTAAAAAAGTTCTCACCGTGTTCTTTTTTTTCCTCATTTATTATTGAGAGCAAGTTTTACAAACATGTTCACTGTCTGATAACATTTTATTATTATAACATTTTGATATACATAAATGGCTCGACATAGTACAGGAAGAAAGAAATCCCACTTCCCATTTTTTTATTTAACCTTTATTTATCCAGGTTAGTCAGAAATCTCTTTTACAAGTGAGACCTGGCCGAGTATATCAGCAACACACAGTTGCAACCTACGGTGTTGAAGAGGAAGTGTAAAATCCTGCAGTTCCTCGAGTGTCCACTAGAGGCTGGCTGCAGAAGCACAGGAAGTCACATACACACCCATTCTAAAAAAGTTTGTTTTTACAGCAGAGATGAACATGTTTACAGCCTGGTTAAAAAAAAACAAACAGGTGTGATTAGCTCATGTCTCAGCACACACTGTTCGGGGGGGGGGGATGTTTTGATGACTCATCAGTTTTGATTTGATGAAGGATAAGAGTTATCTGTAGTTAGGAGGTTAGCTGACCTGATTGACCTGGGGCAAAGTGTAATGGTTTGTCAGGAGGCTTAAAAGCTGCCTCAGCTCTCAGCCTGTCGCTAGGTTGACTGAAAGTTGGGGGCTGTGTCTGAAATCACACTACACACTCTAAACATACATAATGCATACTTACCCGAACGTTAGCATGCCATTAGCAACATATTTAAATACAAATACTTCCTGTCCAAGCTTCGTTTAACGAGCTTGCATCGAACTAGTGCAACCGTTTTATTATCATTTGCAACACAGAACATTTTATAAAGCTCATAGTTGGCTGGCTGGCGAGCTACACAATCGGACAGTCTGAGAGCCGCAGTGCATTGTGGGGCGCACACACACACACCCAGTGGGCTCCTGTTTCATACCTAAAAATTCTGCCCGATCTCGTAAACGTCGGGCAGACTCGGGCAGACTCAACCTTTCATACAATGAATTCGGATCATACTGCCTACTCAATGTGACGTCATGTTTTGTATGAAAGTATGAAAGTCAGCGGTTTCTGGCACAGCTAGGGTGAGACAGCATTTCCAGCATCGAGACCGCCGTCGATGGGACCCCAGCGCCCCCTGCAGGAACAGACGGGTGACGTCACTCAGGCTTCAAACATTAATATTTACAGTCTGTGGTTAAAACTTTGTGCAAAAGTGTTGAAAACATTTTCATGTAAACCTTATAAAACCCTTTAAAAATGTAATGTAAACACATTTCCCTGTTCTAACATTTTGAAATAAAAATAACTTTATCGATGTAGCAACTTTAAAAACAGACATTTTCTAAACACAACAATAAGGAAGTAAAGTGTTTAAATGCTGAGCTACTGAGTGATTATATGTTTTGCAACCTGAGCATCTGGTCAGATGGTGCTTAGTGTATTAAGTGTGTGTGTGTGTGTGTGTGTGTGTGTGTGTGTGTGTTTGTGCCTGTGTAGCGGTGTGGTGTGCAGGTATGCAGAGCCTCGTCTGTACCTGCAACAGGAGCCGGGGTGTGGCACCGCTGATGTGTCCAAGATAGAAATACGATACAGAACACAGAACTGTCTGCAGAGAGCAGAAACAAAGTTAACGCTGCTACGGTGGCCCTGAGCAGACATGCATCCATACATTTTATTTAACCCTTTCTTTACTGTGATGACGAGTAAAATTTAGTCGTTTTCTCAAGAATTAACCTCGGGATAAAAGCGCTGGTTTTCCTGCCATGACGACTTGAATCCAGGCGTTTTCTTGATATCTTGATAAATAAACTCCTAACCATGAGATAAACGAGCGTTATCATCCCGAGACAGCGAGCTGTAACGGATGAGATCTCAAGGAAACAGCAAAAATTTGGGCGCCGGTGGATAAAAAAAATCAACATGCTGGAGAGAATCACTCCAATGATTCCCCGTCAGCCTCAACGTCATCTTTTGTTATTGTTTTGATTTAGAGCCCCCTGGTGGCGGGATTTACACACTGTGCCTTTAAAAATCCTGGGGCGCCAGTGGCCAAGTGATTACTTCACACGTCACATGAACAGAGGCCGTTGTTATCAAAGAGGACGGCCTGGGTTCAAATCTGATCTGTGTTTTTTTCTGTGTTTTATGTCATTCCCCGCTCTCTCTCTCTGATTTCTGACTCTATCTGTCCTGTCTCTCCAGTAAAAGCATCAAAGCACCAACAAATACATCTTTAAAAAAACAACAATGGAGAGTTAACCATCATCAGAGTATGGATGTTCGCTTTGGGCTTCTGTAGATGGCTGCATACAGTTTGAGTTTTCCTACGGTGGCTGGGAAGTGCAAACCAAAACTAAAAAGCATGAGACACTTTTACCAAGGGCAAAACAAATATACATTTACAAGATGTGTCACTTTAACGAGCACTGAGACACATTAAAAGGTGACAGAATCATACCGGAAAGAGACTACTGTCAGATTGTGGAGGCACTTTGCAATCTGAGAGAAACCAGTGTACCAAATGCCAGAAGTGACAGAGTGAGCGGTCAGTTAATGTGTTTTGATGGAAAGACTGGGCGTTAACTGTCTCAGGTCGATTCCACTTAACATCATTAGTATAAAACATTTTGTCTTTAAGCCAAAACAAACGATTTGACCCCTCACTTAATCTCTCCAATCTCTCCTTCTGACATTTGGTACATTAGCTGTCAAGATTCTGTTATTTGCACATTTGTTTTGTCACTTGTAAAAAATTGTTTTGCAAAATGTTTCACACTTTGTTATTTTGGTTTGCACTTCCCAGCCACCGTAGTTTCATGATTTTAGTGAGAAGTCAGTGAAGGATAACACAGGACAAAAAAAGTTTTTATGAATCATCAATAAGATCTTTGTGTTGTAACACAACACGAGGAAGTGTCTACCTGCACTTTGCCTCCCCCTCCACCAATCAGCTTTTGGTTTACTTTCCTACCATATATGGGCAGAGAGAGGAGACTTACAGAAACAGAAAGAGAGAGAGAGAGAGACAGAGAGAAGGAAAGAGAGAGAGTGGAGGCTGCAGAGCAAAGAGGTGGAGGCGGAGTCTATTGTGTTTTTTTTTATTTTTTTATTTTGTAGTGTAAAGTTTCTTGTCAGTACCCTGTCATTACCCCCGAGCTCCGGACCTCCTGTTGTCTCAAATCTGTCACACATCAAAGATGAGCTGATAAATGAGGAGCAGGGTGGAGGCATGTCAGAGCACGAATGAAGCAGAGCACGGACACACACTCACACACACACTCACTCACTGTCTGTCTGTTTATGTTGCACTCTGATTAATGACTTGTGGAGATCAGAGTAAGATTGAGATTCTTCTTAAAGTCAGGGTTGTTGATTTCCTCCAGATACACTTTTTAAGATTTTGGTTGAAATTGTCTTCAGGTCCTGACAGAAATGAATAACTCATGTTCTCTGAAAAAGGAACAAAGTAAATCCATCATCTGTAGCAGTTTGTAAGAATGTAAAAACTTCCACCAATGTCTGCTATCTGATGAACCAATCACACGCCTCCCTGTCGCCCTGCTCGTTCTCTACCCATGATGCACTAGCTCACACCAAGTCAGCAATTTTTTGCCAGTCACAGGATATAAACGTAACTCCCCCTCCTATTGGCTCGAGGTGAATTCTCCTGAGAATATCCTGCTGTGTTCTCACATCAGACCACTCGGACTCTCTGCAGATAAATACAAAGAGTCTGGAGGAGAAACTCTGGGTGAAGTTGTTTTTGGAAATATCAGGAGTTTTTCAGGAGTTTTGTGTATGTGTGAAAGCTCTTTATGACAAACATATTTTAGTGTGAAGCTAATCTTTAAATCTCATGACCTCTAAGATGTACAAATCTTCCTCTGAGCGCCTCTTCCTTTATGATGAAATAAAAACGACTCCTGCAGACAAACAGTGATGGTGTTCGATGTTATTTTTAAGATGTGAACATCAGCGTCATGTCAGAGGAATGTAAATCATCTGATTATGAGGGGGGGGGTTTACACTCAGCTGTCATCATGTTGGTTCATGAGTGCAGCCAGAGAGTGTGTCTTTACACCACTTAATATGTAACACCGCTTCCTGCAGCACGCTTTAGGAAGGAGAACTGTCACACACACACACACACACACACACACACACACACACACACACACACACACACACACACACACACACACACACAAACCTCAGTGTCAGATGATAATGTTGAATTATTTTCTGCAAAGTAAAAACAAAAAGTGGAGATAAAATAAATTTCTCTAAAAGTCAGAGAATAGTTTAAATGTTTCTTCTGATGTTGAGTAAGATTCCAACACGGAGCTGCAGCAGTCGAGTCACGTCGAGTCATGCAGGTAGCTGTGGTGAACATTTCACTGAGGGGAGAAAGTGCAGGTCGTGTTGTCTGAGGACGTCTGCATGAAGTTTGTGAAGACATGTTAGAGCACATCAGCCTGCTGACACACACACACACACAAACACACACACACACATACACACAGACACACACATACACACAGACACACACATACACACACACACACGCACACACACACATACACACAGACACACACATACACACAGACACACACACACACACACAGACACACACATACACACAGACACACACACACACACACATACACACAGACACACACATACACACAGACACACGCACACACACACACAGACACACACACACACTCACACAGACACAGACATACACACACACACACACACACACACACAGAAACACACAGACACAGACACAGACACACACACACACACACACACACACACACAGACAGACACACACACACACACACACACACACACACACACACACACTCA